AGAAAAATAAATGAATTGAAAAGACACTGTTTTACGGAACTTTCGCTCACATATACAGAAATGATGCACTTGTTGAGAATACAAACGAATTACACCTATCGATAAAACAATCAATAGATGTCTCATAAAGAATATGTATGACATCAAAATATCTCTAATGATTTTTATATGTCTGAGAAAATTGATGTTCTCTATGTTAGCTTATGAATAGCTACCCAATAGACTGTAGAAAATGAACTCAACAAAGAAAAGAAGTTTATTTATTAGTGCCATGAGCTATCATTGATATTGTTTCAATAAAAGAAGAATTCATTGTGTTAATAAACAAAATGTTTTAAGAGTGAATTCAGGAAGTTGTACAATCCACAAAAATACAAGAGAAATAAAAAGAATTATAAAAATCGCATCTTAAAACTTTATTTCCTAGCTGATTTTTGTGAATTCGATTTGTCTCTAATGGATCTCAGTCTACTGTGACGAACAGCCTGTAGATGTGGGTATGAAGGTTTGACTGTTGATACAGTTTTTTGTCTCCATTTCTTCTAAACCCACAACCACAGCCACATTGTAAGATCAACAAAACTATGGCATTTGTCTTTATTGTCATTGTCTTGCATCATTGTGTTCAACAAAGAGCCATTTTTTTTATTTTTTAGCAACAAACGTTTTTGTCATTGTGTATTTTAACATTTACATTTCCTACTCAAAAAAATCAAGTTGTTTATTGAAAATTTAGATTAAAAAAAACATGGGAGACAGGCGATGTGCGTAGACTGTGTCTGTCTTAAACAAGTAGGAGAACACCTCAACAGCAGATTGGGGCTTCTATTAACCTTAGGGCATATTTAAGATGTAAATTGAATCAAATATTTGCTTTCTATCATTCCTGTCAATTGAATACGGTATCTTTTTTTTGTCGATAATCAAAGATAAAAGAAAACAAATTGATAAATTTTATTCAAAAAGAAAGAAATGTAAGAAGCCATCTTTATGAAATATTCCGATAAAATCATTTCAAAAGTATGACAAAAACATCAAAATATACTAGAAGCACTTGTCAGATTACAATATATGTGCTAAAGTATTAATTAGCATAATGACTTCGCAAAACTAAAACACGTCTATCTCGGAATAATCAACTTTTCTAAAAACTAATTGTTATAGGTTGCATGTATTTTAAGTTGCTCTAGAAATTGGTAAAAGAATCAGCACTAGAAACGTTTGTTCAGAGAAGTTATCAATAAAAAATTCCCGTTGACGATATGAGTGAGTATAAAAAAAAGCTGCTCTTATAACCGAATGAGAAGTTCAAAACCAATTTCAAACGGTATAAATCCTTCTTCAGATTCTCTAGATGATGATAAGATAAAACGTTTTAAGGATCCTTAGAAAACCGATTTTTTTTAAAGATGAAAATCTTTGAGAATCCAATCTTGTTGAAAATTTCAACATAGATGCAGTTTTTTTAATTTTTTGCTCACAACATTAAAGAAATATTTGCTAATTACTTTTTAATTAACAGTCAGTTGAAATAGCCAACCTTTTTATATATATTTTTTCTATGCTAAAAGAACTTGATCAGAAAAAAATAATTCTTTCTCAGAATTAAAACCAATAAAAAGTGTGTATGTTCGACTTTGCCTAAAATTATCTATGTACACAATGAGTCAGTCTATTCTGCTCTATTTCATATTGCAAATATTTCTGTCGGTATTAATATTTGACAAGTTCGATAGTTAATCAATTCATCAATAGATGTCATAGTACCTTCTGTCAACAATTCATGCTACACCGGAGGAGGATCGTGTAATATTTTTGATTGGTGTAATAATGTATATCAATCATTATTCTTCACACTACGACGTGTCACATCGCTCTGGGGCTCATGAGTAATCAACAAAATGTATACCTTTATGTTAATAGAAATGGAAGAGAGAAGCAGCAGCAGGAGAACGAAAAAGAAAAAGAAAAAGAACAAGCAACACTACATACCGTGAATAGAGAAGAAGAAAAAAAACAGAAATCAACACAACTCGAGTATTATTTTATTTTAAATAGAAGCATTTTTTCCTCTTCTTCTAGATTTTGCAATGAGCGAAGAAATCAAAGAAAATACCGATGTTCAATCTGATGATAACAAACAACAAGATGAAAAATCCGAAGAAAAAATTCGAAAAGTATCAATTAGTGATGAAGACGAAAATGAACTACCACTTTCAACACCTAATGGTCGTGAAACTCCATCCGCAGTATCATTTTCTGATGTAATTATTCAAAAACAAGATGAAGAATTACCTATGACTGAAGAAAATCATACTTTTAATGATACACAACAACTTCTTGAAATTATATCTGATAAATCAAATAAAGAAGCAACTACAACTTTATTAAATACGGTAAACAAAAACAAAAAATAATAATAATTTTTTTTGGTAAAATTTCATTTTTATTTAGCTTGTCGATGGAGATTTTGATTTAGATAAAAATTATATTATTCAAAAACCAGAAAATCTATCAAAAATATTTTCTATATTTAATAAAATGTCATCATCATTACAAGCTGAAATTCTTAGTGTATTAATTGGTATAATGCGTAAAAGTGAACGAAATTTATTAGCATGTATTGATGCAAATATATATGATAAATTATTTGAAATTTTAAATGATATTGATAATATTGTAGCAGATTTATTAGTTGATATATTAACTGTAATAACATCATTAACAATAAATGTTAATCAACTTAAAATTCTTTTACGTTATTTAAAAACAGAAAATAATATTTGGGTAAGAAAATTATTTTTTGGTTGTTATTGTTTTTGTGTTTTATTCTAAATTGAAATTTTTAGAAAAAACATGCAGTTAAATTATTACATACATTTAAAAGTTTTCCACAACGACATGGACCTGATGAATTTTTTAATTTTCCTGGTCGAAATGATTCCGGTCTAGTTTTACCACCAATTAAAACATGGCCATATCAAAATGGTTTTACTATTTCAACATGGTTTCGTATTGATCCAGTTGCCAATAGTGTTATTGAAAAAGAAAAACCTTATCTATATTGGTTTTGTACATCAAAAAGTCATGGTTATACAGCACATTTTGTAGGCAATTGTCTTGTTATTTCATATACAAAACCAAAAGAAAAAAATTTTCAACATTGTATACAATTTGAATTTAAATCACGAGAGGTAATAATGATAATAATTTGAAATTTTCTTTTTTTTTTATTTTGTTTTTATGATTTTATTACTCAGATATTTTCTTTTTGTATTCTATCATCGATGAATTTTATTACTTAGAAATAACATTATCATCGAGAATAATTAAATTTTGTAGGTTTTGTATATAAATTCGGCTGTAATAAGTTTGAGGTTGGAATAACATGCATTTCCGTTTTGCTTTAATATTATTGAATAAAATTTATTATTCAAATGGTGATAGTTATTATAATTTGATATAGTATGGGAAAATACGGGAATTATTTAATAATACTCATGGGCTCGTTTTGAAGCTTATAGAATTGATTTAAAGGATTTTTGGGGTTATTTTTTATATGAATTGTATAGGATGATAAAAGTTTTTCTATCTTTTAATTAATCGAAATTGAACTTAATTATCAATGTTGATTGTTTTTTACTTATGTCTTAATATGTGCTTAGTTCATAGTTTATTTCAAGTAATAATGAATTCAGAATGCATGGGAACAAGAACTTTAGTTATATAAAGATCGAATGGGCTTTTCTTTTCCACAAAAGCTAGTCTTGAACAGTGAATAAATCAAACATAAAACTTAATGTTAGGTTGCATGAGGTCATGATCATTTGTATTCGAAAAGGAAACAATGAACTTCAAATATTTTTGCTTATTTTATATCCATATGTTTGAATATTAATTAATAAAAAGTTACACCATGATGTTTATTTTTGTTTTTAGTGGTATATGATAACATTTGCTCATCAATATCAACGTTGGGCTAAAAGTAGTATTCAATGTCATATAAATGGTCAACTTGTATCAACTGCTTATTTTCCTTGGAGTATTGAAAGTGGTGATATATTTGATAAATGTTATATAGGTTGTACACCTGATCATAATGATTTAACAAGTTTTTCTGGTCAATTATCAACATTTTATTTATTCAGTATATATTTAGAACCATTAATTGTTCAAGGTCTTTATAAATTAGGACCTGCATATAGAAATCAATTTAAATTTGAAAATGAAAGTGCTCATATGCTTACAGATGCACAACGAAAAGCTATGTATGATGGAAAATTAATGAATTCAATTGTGTTTAATTATAATCCTGTTTCATGTGAAGAACAACTTGTTTTACAAACAGGTCCAAAAACAAACATATCTCATTTCGTTCATAATGCTCATGCACAAATGTTAAGTAATGTTCGATCTGTTGTAGCACGTTCAATTTATTCAACATTACATTCTATTGGTGGTGTACAAGTATTTTTTCCATTATTTGCCCAATTAGATCATCAACAAAGTGATGGATCAATAAATTATGATGTTTGTTCCATTCTTCTTTTTACTTTATGTGAATTAATTGAACGTTCATATACAATTCAACATCAAATGCTTAGTTCAAAAGGTTTTCTTATGATTGGTTATTATCTTGAAAAGGTATAGATCACTAGCGAAATCTGAATAAATGAGCGAAATGTCTTAGTGATTTTCTATTGATTATAAATCAATGAACGAAATATATTTCGTAAATTAAAAGGGAAGCGCGTTCAGATACGATGAGTTCTGAACTTACGGAACTCTTAAAACGCTAAAAATTCGAAGCACTGTTGAAAAGTACGGGCTTGTCGGTCATTATGTATTCATTTTATCTTTGTAATTCGCAGCGAAGTTGCACTTTCAGAAGTTAATAACTCACAGAATTCGGCCATTACTCGATTAGAAGTTTTGAAAGATAATTATTTCACATAAGATTTGTTAGATGATGATATTTTGTAGAATCAGCAATTGTAAAAGTATCGTGTATGTTTTGTGAGCTTCAATCAATGAAATCCTTACAAATATGCAGATTCATTGTACATAGAAAAGTTGAATTGACTGATAGAAGGAGAAATTCTATGCATGAATGGTAATAGAACATAATTATCTAGATGTGAACTGATTAGTATTAGCATTAGTATGGAAACTTCTTCGATCTTCATATTTTTACCATAAATATTGAAAAATGATAGAACTTTATGTGATTTTCATCAATATTCGCATTGTTTTATACTAATGTTATGTTAATTCACAGGGTTTAAATTATTTTTTTTTAAATTAATGCAATACTTCTATTATTTATTAGTGTCATATTTTTTGTTTCATTATGAATTAGATAAACTGAAGGATATGTTAATAAAATTTCTGCATTTATAATAAAAATAATTTAGCGGTGATTTTGAAATATAAATTCTGTAGAATTTTTGCTAATAGTTATTTTTTCGATTATTTTTTAACATTATGAGGAAACATCACAAAATGAAAAAGATCAGTTTTAATTCATCAGGTACAGAGAAAACTTGAAAGAATTCATGTTCATGAAGCTTTTCATTATGATTATTTTACTAATCTTTCTGATCCTTACTTTCAAAATTTATACCAATAAAATATTTATTGACTTACGATTTAAATATAAGATTAAAATTTACTTTTGTTCTTATGACAGAATTTGTATTTGGAGATTGAATGAATTAGTACCATTGGGAACTTTATTTCGGAAAAGTTTAAATTCGAATTACAAAAGTCAATATCTAAAATGATCTAACTAGGATATTGTTTCAAATGAAAAAATATTTTTGAATTCACCGCACTCTATGCATAAGATAGAGGTGCGTGTGATGTGAAAAATTCTAAATGGATTACTGTTCTTAGACATTCCTTTCCGAGTTACAATCACTTTATTGAAAATTTACTCTATTGAGAGACCTAGTTGTAGATATAATGCCCTGGAATTTTCTGTTGAGAATGATGCTCTATTAAAGAGATATTGAATTTCTAAAAATTACTCATACATGATGAAGAACGTGAGAATCTCATGTTTCCCGGAAACTCAATATCTCGTGATGAAAACATTCTATTTATAAGTAGTTCTGTATATAGACTGAATATTCAGTAAAATGACTAGAACTCTGAAAGGAATAGCTAAGAGCACTAATTACTTTTGGGATTTTTCATATCTCAGTGAGCTCTATCCTATGCACAGAGTTCGAACGCAAAAATTATTTATTACTTAGAAAGGTGCACTTGTACGAAAGATCACGACATTTCTTTTTTTTGAAAACATTACTAAAATGCTTATATATCAAGAAGAAAGAATTATGATTAAAAGTTTATCGAAATCTTTCGTTAATTTGAACTCTGCTAATCTAATCAAATGAATGTTCAAAGAGTAGCAAACGCATATTTTATGGAAATTTTTATTATATCTAATTTTAGTCATCAAAACAACATATCAATATGGATGCATTAAATTCTTTAATATCTTTAATAACATTTTTTATTAAAGTTCAAAGCAAAAATAGTCCAATATTATTAAAACAATTATTTACGCATATTTTTTTCAATCCATCTATTTGGATAAATTGTTCCGTTCTTGTATGTATTTTTTTTTATTATTAAAAAATTTCAATAATATTTTAATTTAAGATTCAAATGAGATTATATACATATTTAGCAACAGAATTTGTTGCTTATAATGAAACATATCAATCAATTCAACCAATTAGTGGAATTATTCAAACATTGCATACACTTAAATATTTTTATTGGATTGTCGATCCTAGTCGTCGAAATGGTTATAAATCAAAAATTTCAGGTAAGAAATTTTTTGTTTTGTTTTCTGAAACTCACATATATTGTCGAAAGAAGTGTTCGATAATAGATTAAAGTTGTTAAGGAACTATGGAAAGAGAGTTTGGCGTCTGTTGTCATTGGTTACCAGAGAACACATACTCAAGGATCAATATCATTATGAATGTTTTAAATAGCAATTATATGATAGATAGTTTATTGAGATGCACAATAACGTATTGAGGCTTACTAAGTATATATAGTGATATTTTAAGTTGAGGATAAAGTAACGAGCAAATAGTAACACGGCAAACAACAACAAAAAATGATTCGAAACACTGAATTATGCAAATCAATCATAATATAATTCAGTTTTTTTTAATAATTTGTCTGGTAGACCGTAATGAAGCTTAATAGATTCATAAAAATCATATATATTTATTTATATATAAATTATATATAGCAGTCGGGAGAAGTTTCACTATCTCCATGGATATTTTCTTCAATCGTGAGTGCGATCGTGAATTTTCGAAGAAAAACTTGCATAGAACAGGGAATTCATTAGAGAAAAATTCCCAATCGGGTGAAAATATCGATCACTTTTCGAGGATTGTTATCAACTCTTAAGGGCCACATCCCCTCACAAACGAACTTTTTTATTTTTCCATGGAATTCAACCAAAATTTCAGAGAATGTTAGTCTTGGCTAGACTAGATTATGGTTAAAATATCTTCCCAAATCTGCGAGACATTCACGAGCTATAGTCAATTCACTGGTAAAAAAAATAGCCTTTATGCGGGCAAGGTTTTCACCTTGAGGACTATTCGTCAAGCTTTATTAGATGGCGTATAGGCAACTATTTCATAATGTTATTACAAGTACATATCATGCCAAAATTGTGGTCATGGTCCCTAATACGTTGATGTCACTGCAAGTCACACATGTTTTTATCCATTTTCTGGTTAGATCAGAAGACTACATTTCATTCAGAAAAAAATTATGCTAGTTGAAAGCCCATTGCAACGACTATCAGAATATATATAAATCTGGAAATCGAGTTTTTCTCGAAAAATCAACTTTTCTAAGCGAGGGGGGAGGGACGGCATTAAGTGTTAGTAGGCTCTTAATGATTAATATAAAAAACGCTTTATTCAATGCCGATGCAAATGGCAAGAAAGTCTTTCAAAAGCTACAAAAAATTTAAAAAAAAACGTGAAAATTTCTTGAAAAACATGGTAGTAAGCCCAAGTTGTTACCGATAAGTCCGTCAAAATTTGTCCGTTTTTCGAAAACTCATATATATTCTGAAAGAGGAGACTTCGATGCATCTTCCTATGACAATAACTCAAATTCGACTTTTCTGAAGGGAGGGGGGGGGGCATAAGTGGAGATTACCCCAAGAATACTTCATCAATCAGGCAAACTAAAACAGCTTGCCATGGAGCTTCTATTGATGATAAAAGCAGCACTGAACTGTCCGAATATCATTATGCTTATTTTCTATCTTTTCCATATGAAATTTGATCAAATCTTGATTAGTTCTTACAATCAAAGTTTAACATACTTTACTTATGGTTCAACTATCAAACTAAAGTTTCAAGATATTTTTACTACTATTATACATACTGATAGACTCTATCAAAAATCTCTTCTATATTTTTATCATGAAGCCGTCCCAAAGAGACTATGCTGACAATCTTTTCTAAAACTATTCAATTAAAAAAAAAAAACTTTAGACGAAAATCGACCAACACGTGAACAAATTATTGAAATGCGATGTTATATGTTATTATATATGAAACAACTTGTTATAAGTAGTCCAGGTACACAAGAAGAAGAACTTCAAGCTATACTTAATTATCTTCATACAATAAATGAAGTAATGAAGCAAATCTATTTCTTCAAATTAGAAAAAAAAAAAAAGTTTTTGTTTTTTCAATTTTCAAGGATGAAAATCTACTTGATGTATTAGATTTAGTTGTAAGTCTTATGTCAGAACATCCAAAAACAATGGTACCAGCATTTGATCGTCGACAAGGATTAAGGTAGAAATGTAATTTAATCTTCTTCATTAATAAATCATTTCTTTTCTTTTTTTCCTTAAGAACTGTATTTAAATTATTATCAAGTAGTAGAGAAACAATTCGTTTACAAGCTTTAAAATTATTAGGATTTTTTCTTCAACGAAGTACAATTAAGTATGAAACAAAACAAAAAAAGATTCTTGTTTTTTTTTTAAAGAAAAAATATAACTTTCTTCTTTTAGACGTAAAACAGATTCCATGCAACCACATAATCTATTTTCATTATTGACTGATAGACTTTTACTTCATCCAAATGGTTTTACAATGTCAACTTATAATATTTTATTTGAAGTATGAGTGAATAAATTATTATAAAATGATATTTTTTGAGTTTTGTTTATTTATTTGAGATAATTGTGGAAAAAGTCAGTGGACCAATTGTTGAAAAACGTAGTGTAGAAATTACTAGTGATTGGAAAATTGAAAATCCAGGTAAGAAAAAATCTTTAAAATAATAATAAATTTAGCAAATAATTATATAATATAGCAATGATCAAAGTAATAGCAACATTACTTCGAAATTCACCAGATAATATTCATTTATATGATATTAAATCTCGTTTTCTTGATGATATGATTTTACTTTCATCAGCAAGTCGAGAAAATCGAAGGTAAAACTTATTCATATGTTTTTTTGTTATAAAAATTTCTTTTCTTTTTTTGCTCTCATAAGAATTATTTTACAAATTTCTGTTTGGCAAGAATATTTACTTGGTCTTGCTTATGTTTATCCATCAAATGAACAACAAATTGCTGTAACTGATCGAGTTTTTGAATTATTAAAAGTTTTATTACATCATGCTATTAAATTTGAATTTGGTGGATGGAGAGTTTGGATTGATACACTTTCAATTTTACATGGACGAGTAAAATTAAAAAAAAACAACCTTTCTTTTTTTTAATGTCTATGAAATCAAATCTTGTTTTTATTCTTAGGTAACAAAAGAAGACTATTATCGAAAGATTAATAAAATGGTTGAAAATATGAAAGATGATGATGAAAATGATGTAAGAATTTTTTTTTTTTCTATAGATGAATTGTTGATTTAATTTATGAAATGTTTAGCAAAAAACACCGGTTTCTACACCGACAACAAGCGGTCCAGAAACACCAATCGATGGACAATCGGTTACAACACTAACCAGTATGTTAATAGATCTCTTTAATAATAGATAATAAGATCGTAGTGAAACTTTCAAAGAATAAGATTTTGCTTTACAACAGTCAATCTGTTTGGTAGAAGATGAACTAAGAACAGAGGTGTATAAGCCAATCGGATGACGAGAAAACTTCTTTAACTGTTCCTTTTCAATTTTAATGAACTTTTGCCTAGAAATACTACACAATTTTCTACTAGACTAACTTTCATGAAAGAATTAAGAAGTTTTTGAGCAACATCACTTTGAGATATGAAGCTTGAAAAAAAATGTATGTTATAAACATTATCAATAGAAAAAGGTAAGGAAGCTAGTCTAGTTGAATACTGTGTATTTACAAAATTTGAAAATATGAATTTTTCGAAAATCGGAGACTCTAGCAAAAAAATTCGATAACATAGTCAAATTTTTATATTTTTTAGGGTTTTTATTAGAACACTATGCAGTATCTATTTCCAAAAAAATTATTGAAATTAGAAGAGGATAGTTGAAGAGATTTTTGTGAGCCACTGTCATTGTGATATGAGGATAAATATTTGAATTTTAAAATTTCCGACGTCCCAAAACAAGGTTTTCAGATATGTTACCGTCCAGTTTCTTGTCAATAAGCTCTATACTGTCATTTTCTCTATTTTTCATTTCAAAATTTCTCGAAATTTAGAAAATATTTTAATAAATCTGTTAGAGAAAGTTCAGCCGTCGTCAATCTATATATCGACTTACATTCTAATAAAGAAATGAAATAATATTTCATTGTATCATCAATAGGAGTCGATCGGTTCCTGATTCAAAGTTCAGCTCTTGAAACTAAAGAGAGAAGTTCCTTCACTGATGAATCACTTTTAAGTTAGCATTTTTGTAAGTCCTAATGACCTATGAATACTGAGAAAGAAGTTTGCACCATCAGCCTATTGCTACGAAAATACTGCATTTTTATATTATATTTAAGTCAGTACTGTGGCCTATTAGAAACATCAAGAATATTGATTTTCGACTTGAAACTTAGCATAGAGATAGATCTTGATAACAATAGCTCATTCTGACAGTTTTAGATCTTTTCCTAGTTTCTATTCTAGTATAGAGAGATGATAAAATTGTATCTTTTACATTTTGTTCGACATATAAAGAAACGGAAAAGTTTAAAATCTATTCATACGGACGATGGGTTTTCGACAAAGTTGCCTTCAGCTAAATGATCAAAATGAATGCGTAGAATTCCTAACAAGTGATGAAGAATTTTTTTTTTTCTTATCAATAAGAAGATTTTCTTTAATTATTTATCTAAAAATAATATTTTCTTCTATTAAAAGAATCTACTTCAAATCGTCAAGTATTCAATAAAACTAATCAATTACCACCATTTACAATCTCGGAATTTAAATATTCTCCAATGCATATTCGTCTGTTACATAGTGTTTTCGATTCAATCGAAACAGATGTTCGTGCATGGAAATCGTATGTGTTAAAAAACAAAAAAAAAATTCTAAAATCAATTTTTCTTTATTTTTCTAGTGAATCAACTAAACCAATAACTGATTTTATTAATCATTCAGATTATCAAATATTTTGTGCTAATGTTGTACATATTATTTCTCAAATGTCAGAAATTTTATGTAATGCATGTGGTGGTCTTTTACCATTACTTGCTAGTGCAACATCAGCATCAGTAAATTCATATTTATAATTTTTATAGATTTTATTTTTTTTTGTATATGTGTGTGTGTGTATTTTTCAGCATGAAATCGAAATATTAGAAAATACCGAAGGTTTATCACCATTGAATGCAATTAAAATATTAAAACGTGTTATGAGTTTAGCAGATTTATTTATTCTTGCAAATAGTTCAAATTTTTCTGAACTTGAACAAGAAAAAAATATGCCAACTGGAGGAATTTTAAGACAATGTCTTCGTTTAAGTAATGAAACACTTTATTGTTGTTATTAAATATATTTCGAATTAATTTTTTTTTTGTTGTTATCATTTTCAGCAATGACAACAGCTGTTCGTCATTGTATGGAATGTCGTTTTCAACGAATTGATCGAACATTAATATCAAAAACTTCGGAATCAATACAACAAACAAAAACTCCAATGAAAGATCCAATAGAATCCATAATTGAATTAACTTATTTATTAAATTCACCACAAGAAAATGATATAGATGAAAATATTGAAAGTTTACTTGCAACATTTATTAAAAATCCTGAATCTGTTTTACAAGATATTGATATACAACGTTTACGCGCTATTATCTATCGTGATGTGGTAAGACAAAATCGAAATAAAACTGGCAAAAACGTTGTCATTGTCGTGGTAAATTTAAGCAATATATTTCTTTTTTTTCTTTGCTTTATGTATTTTGTGTTGCATTAATTGTTCTATTTATTTCCTTTTTTTTTTTGTTTTTGTTGCTATTTTATTTTGAGAAAATTAAATATATTTTATTTAGGACGATACAAAACAATCACAATTTTTAGCTTTATCTATTGTTTATTTTGCATCGGTATTAATGGTATCAAGATATCGAGATATTATTGAAACAAATCAAGCTTCTTTATCACGGACAGCATCATTTATGAGTACAACAACAAGCCTTCGAAATAGTAACGATTGCGTTTTTTTTTTCTCCTGTTTTTTATATGATGCTTTTAGGTTCAATAATGGATAGTACTGCTGATACGGCTAGTGTAAATGGTTTAAGTTCGATTGTAGCGCCTATTACTAATAATAAAGTATGATGATAAATCGATTGTTTTTCTGTTATAAAAATATTCTATTTATAGAAAAATTCGAATGAACCAACAACACATGATGATCGAATAGATACAGAAAATGAGACAGATAATGCTGATTCACAATCAACTGATCGAAAATCTATAGATTTGAATAGTGCAGGTACCGCAACTTCTCAATACGGTATGTCAGACACAAAAAAAAAAGTATATGACACTTATTTGAATAAATGAAATAATTTTTTACGCATTTCTATGCATTAAATAAAAACAAATCTATGTATAAGATTTCACATTTTGTCTTAATTAATAGTTCTTAGCTTTTGTTTTTTGCAGAAAATTCATTAGATCAGAAGGATTATTATCAATTTCAAATTTGAGATCGAAAACTATTTAGTTATGATTGAAAATGTTTTTTTTTTTTTAAATTAAATTAATAACAATATGAATAGAGTTCTTTTTCTATTTCAGCAAGTATAGCTAGTATACCAATAACTGATCCATCAACAGTTGATCAACGTCGAATGTCAGAATCTAAACTACCAGATTATCCAAAAACAACTTTCGATTCAAATGAACCATCAGCAATGAATATAACTGAAAAATTAGAACGAACATTATCAAATATAGCACCATTTTTACGTGATATTTTTACTGAATTTTCACATATTCTTACAAAAACATTAGTTGGTTCACATGGACAAGAATTAATACCTAATGGTTTACATGCTTTGAAAGAAACAGCATCAGTTGTTGAACTTGTTATGCTTTTATGTTCACAAGAATGGCAAAATTCACTTCAAGTAAAATTTCAAATAGTTTAAAATTGAAACTTGAAAGTCTTTTTTTTTTGCACATGACCTGACAGGACCATAGCTTTTTGTTGAAAAATCAAGCTACTCTATACTCTTCTAATTCTCTCTAGCGTTCATCAAATGAACACTGTCTCGGTCGAAAAGTGATTTGACATCTGTAGAGATTTCTTCATTAGTAACGGGAAAAAAGGCGTTAACTAGCATTAGCAAGAAAATTTAGGCCGATTTAAAAAAAACTCGAGAACACCCAAAATTACAATGGCCTGAATTTGTTTATGAGTACCCTAATTATTTTGTTTTCAAGATGTCAAAGATGATGAGTAGTGATACGTTGATTTACTACAGTTGTTAAATAATCAATTTATAACTTTGGAAAATAATCAATATTAGTATTTCTGAGCTTATTGAGATATACAATCATGTGCTGAATAGAGCCCATCAGGCTGATTTCGGATCGAAATACGATGAACTCTAGTGTTAGGATATTAATGAGGCTAAAGAATACAATTGAGTTCCACTGACAAGTCTTGTTTTTTTTTTTTTCTTCTTAGAAACATGCTGGTTTAGCTTTTATCGAACTTGTTAATGAAGGTCGTGTACTTGCTCATGCAAGTAAAGATCATGTTGTAAAAGTTGCTAATGAAGCCGATTTCATTCTTAATCGTATGCGTGCCGAAGATATTCGAAAAGCTAGTGAATTTGAACAATTATGTGGACAAACAACTTCTGAACGTAAAGAAGAAGAAGAAATTTGTGATCATTTTATAATATCATCTCGTCAACGATATCTAACAAATGCATCACGTTTAAAAGAAAAATTTTTATCACAAATGATTAATGATAAAACAACATATTTAAATAGTTCAAATCCATTTTGGAAATTAGATCCATGGGAAGATGATTTAAGACGACGAAGACGTTTAATATATAATTCCAATGGTACATTACATGATGAAGCCATATCAAATTCATCAATTAATGAAAATGATGATGATATAATAACAACATTGAATATAGATGAATATTTATTAAAACAAATAAAACAAAAAGTACAAAATTTTCTTCCAAATAATAATGATGATGATAATATCTCTCAAGTTGATGAAAAAGATATTGATCAAGAATTTTCTGGTCCAATACGTTATTCAACTGAATGTTCATTAATTTGTGGAATTATATCTATACATGGAACTTTAGCTATTACACAGAATGCAATGGTTTTTGATACAAATGAAGAAGATGAAAATTTTAAAAATCTTGATACTAAAGTAAAAAAATAAAATCAAAATATTACAATATGAAAAATTTCGATTTTATTTTAGATACTTCCTTATATTGATAATCTTCATGGAAAATGGCATTTTAATGAAATACGAGCGATATTTTCCAGACGATATCTCTTACAAGATAAAGCATTAGAAATATTTGTTTCAAATAGAAGTATGTACTAAAAATAGATTATAAGTACTGTTTAAACTAGTTCTTTTTTTCTATAAAATTGACAATCATCTATCTTTCTTTTCTCTAGAAGAAAGTGAAATAAAAATAAGCCGAGACTGACACTGTGAGTTGAATGGCATTGAGGCAGGGCTCTGGGGAGAAGCAATCTGGCCGAGTCATGATGAGTTTTATTCTCTCTACCTCTTATCACTACATCTAATAGTCCAAGGATAACAAATCTTTCTGACGAATTTTTAGCGACTTCCATCCTTAAAAAAATATTGACAACCCTGGTTCGACGTGTAGTTATCTTACACATAGGTCAAATTCAAAATTAGTTTCTGATTGATATGCTAGCTAGTATTGAACTTTCCTCGTTGATCATCGAATAAAACAATTTAGACTTCACATTTTACTAATTACTTTTTTTTTTATTTTTAGCAAGTGTTATGTTTGCTTTTACTGATCGTACTATAGTTAAGAAAGTTGTTAATTTTTTACCTCGAGTTGGTGTTGGTGGTCGTTATGGATTACCACAACAACGGTAAATTAATATATTCTTTGACTATTTATTGTATATGGTTTTCATTTTTTTTTTTTTCTTTCTTATTAGACGAACATCATTAGCATCACCAAAACAATTATTTCGTTCGGCAAATATGACACAACGATGGCAACGACGTGAAATATCTAATTTTGAATATCTTATGTATCTCAATACAATTTCAGGTAATTATTCGAAAACAAAGAAAAGTTTTTAGAAAAATATTTTTATTTTTTTGTTATGTTTTCAATTAGGTCGAAGTTATCAAGATTTAAATCAATATCCAATATTTCCATGGATTATAGCTGATTATGAAAGTGAAAAACTTGATTTAAATAAACCAGCAACTTATCGAGATTTATCAAAAGTAATTCATTTTTTTAATAATTTGTTTCTTTTCTTTTTTCAAATCTATTCTTTTTAGCCTATCGGAGCATTAAATCCTACGCGAAAATCATTTTTTGTTGAACGTTATAATAATTGGGAATCAGATACAATTCCAGCATTTCATTATAGTACTCATTATTCAACAGCTGACTTTACACTTTATTGGCTTATTCGACTTGTAAGTGATAAATTCATTATAAATAATCGAACTTTTTTTCTTCTCTAAGGAACCATTTACAACATATTATTTAAATTTACATGAAAATAAATTTGATCATGCTAATCGAACATTTCATTCTATTCCTTTATCATGGCAAAATTGTCAACGTGATTCATCCGATGTTAAAGAATTAATTCCTGAACTTTTTTCTTTACCTGAAATGTTAAATAATTGTAATAATTATAACTTTGGACAAAATGATGATGAACTTAAAATTGATAATGTTATTTTACCCAAATGGGCTCAAACACCAGAAGATTTTATTCGAATTAATCGAGCTGTAAACAATAATTAAATTTTTCATTTCGATTTCTTTTTCTTTTTTTTCAGGCTCTTAAATCAGAATTTGTTTCTTCTCATTTACATCAATGGATTGATTTAATTTTTAGTTATAAACAAAGAGGTTATTCTAAAATATATTGTGATGTTTTTTGTAATTTTATATTTGATTTTGTAGGACCAGAAGCAATACGAGCTATAAATGTTTTCTATTATTTAACATATGAAGGTGCAGTTAATTTTGATGCTATTACAAATTCAACAGATCGTGCTACTATTGAAGCACAAATTAAAAATTTTGGTCAAGCTCCATCACAAATTTTAACTGAACCACATCCACCAAGAAACTCAGCAATACCATCAGTAAGTAAAAATCTTCTTGTACTTTAGATCTTTTACTTAATTATTATTCTTTTTTTCTATTAGAATCCAACAATGCATCATGTGTAAGTCAGATCCATTTCAAAATATAAAATGCTCCACTATTTTTTCAATAACTTTTGATAAAAACATCATAGAGACCAACGGTTTTCACCATTCAAGAGATAAGACTCGACGCCATCGAAAACACTATTCAGAAATTATTTCTCTTTCGATTTATGTTCGGCCTAAATTTTTAGCTTGTTCCGTTCGAGAGTTATAAACTTTTTTGCTGAGACTTCCAATTTCATCCCACTGTCTTGTAATCATCCAGAAAAGCAGCTGAACCGGAATAAATGTACCATGTTGAATCGAATAGTAATATTTGTTTTTAAGGTTTAAAATGATCTGACACTGTGATCTGAATATTTCCGAAATACTTAGAGAATAGAGCCAGATCATTTCGAACCTAAAAACAAATAGCAGCATGGTGAATTACCTCTGTCTATCTGTTTTTCTGGATGATCACAGGTCGATTGATTGAAATCAGAACTTTCAAGAAAAGTCTTATAGCTCTCAAACGGAGCAAACTAAACATGTAAGCCTTACGCAAATCAAAAGAGAAATAGCTTCTGCATATTGCTTTCGATGACGTCAGGTATTATTTCTTTAAATTATTTTCATGATTGTGATTTTAGTGCACCAGAAGATGTATCAATGATAATGAAATTTTCATCAAATGCACCAATTATTCATGTTGCTGCGAATACGAATTCAACAATTTCAACTCAGGTTGTAATTACAATTAGTAATAAACATGATTTTTCAATTAATAAATATAATCCAAATGCTGGGGCATCAACATCAACTTACTCAGAGCCTCCACAGACATTAACTGGTCAACAAGCACAATTACCATTAAGCATGGATTCACGTTTAGGTAAAAATATTAGACTCTTTTCGAATACAGCCATAGAAATATTTTCTTCTATTTGTTCAAGAGTAGTGAAATCATTTTTGAAAAGACCAGAAGATGAGTTTGGACGGAAAATTTTTGTATGTTCACAATTGAGGTTCAAAACTAGAATTTGGGATCTTTGTTTATATATCAGTTGATTGATCAGAAGCTACCATATACAAGATGCACTATTTGAAAGGTTTTTTGATGGTCTTTCAACAAAGCACTTGAATTTTCGTTTTTTCCTAAACACTCACTTATGAAAATCCAGAACTGTTTTAGTGCTGAAGGAAGTTTTCGAAAAAATTGCTCGTAGTCTTAGTTGAATAAAAGCTACAGCTTAGATGCTCTACAAAACTATCGACTCCGGCGATATCTAACATGTTTGAAAGAGAAATTATTGGGTAAATAAAAAACTGTTGGCTCACCATTAAAAATTATTCTTCAGGTTTTTTCAAAAAGTCTTTCATAACTCTTGAACAAAAATTGAGGCAAAACTTCTCAACTCTTGTTCGAATCTGGTTTGAACTCATCAAAAATATCTTCTAGTGGTTCAAAAGTGAACAAACATCTTGTTTAAAAACTTGTCGATCACTCGTTATCATTACGTTCGAGAGAATAAATCAAAATATAAGAGTTAAGACCATAGTGTTCTTTTATTTATAAAGTCTTACTTTTCATGAGAAGAAAAAGAATTTATAGATTCAATACTTTGAAAAAGGATCATTTATCCATAGAAATATTTCTTTATACAATAACAATTAGGCTTAATTGAAAAAAAGACTTGGCATTGTCGCTTCACATATTTGTTCAAACAAGAAATATGCAATATATTACAATGAAGCTCCTTCGAAAAATCGCAAATTATTTCAAGTTCGATTTTTCTGACGAAAATTGACTTTTTGATTCTAAACGAAATTTTCTAATGATAGAAGTTCTTTGATTTATTGAAAATCAATATAATTTTTATCGTTCTCATTTTATTATTTTATTTTTAGTGTTAAATACAGGTTTACATCGTCGTCATCTTGGTGATAATTTTGATGAATGTATTCAACGACGTCATCAAAGTTTTGTTGTAACTGCCGATAATCGTTTTATCATATCAACTGGTTATTGTGATAAAAGTTTTCGTGTACAAAATACTGATATGGCTAGAACTACACAAGTACTTTATGGACATTTTGATATTGTTACATGTACATGTCGTTCGGATATAACTATAGCAGGAAATTGTTTTATTGCAACAGGTTCACGAGATTCTACTGTTTGTATTTGGATATGGAATGGAACAAAAGGAGCTGTTGTTGATAAAGAATATCCAAATCAAGGTAAAAATTAATTTTAATCAAAATACAAAAAAAAAATAACAAATCTATTAAATAAAATTTCAATTTATTTTAGAAATAAATCCATCGCCAGCAGTTATTTTAACTGGTCATGATACTGAAATAGTATGTTTATGGATATCAGCCGAACTTGGTGTTGTTTCAAGTGGTAGTGAACATGGTCTTGTACTTCAACATACACTTCAAGGTGATATATTACGTGCATTTGAAAATCCATGTGGTATAGCTTCACCACGTCTTTTATCACCATCAACTGATGGTGATATTATTGTTTGTTATGATCGATCAAAATTATGTTTATATACATTAAATGGAAAATTAATGAGACAAGCTATTTTTGAAGAAGAAACTATTCAAGTAAAAATTTTTTTTCTAGTAATTGACAAAACAAAAAAAAATAATTGATTAAATTATTCTAGAGTTTAATATTGAATGCTGATGGTCAATATACGGTTATTGGAGGTGATCGAGGTTTTGTACAAATACTTCGTACACATGATTTACAACCGGTTTATGCTTATCCACAATGTGATGCAAGTATTCGTTCATTAGCTATTACTCATGATCAAAAGTAAGTATATATTTAATTTATAATGTTTTCTATCCAAAAAACTATTTCGAATGTGAAGAAATTTCTGTAATATTTAGCTTATGTCATCACTGTTTTTTTTTTTGTTAGGAATACGGTCAGTCACGAGCATTAAAATAGTCGCATATTCTATGCTTGTATTGACTGAATTAGTTTTCTTTACAACAGAAATAATTTTAATTACTCAGAAAAATTTAAAACTTTCCTAGGACAAATAGTTTTCTTCTTCTTCGTTTTACAAGTACAGGTGTACATCACAACGTAGTCAGCATACTATCGAACACATGATCTGAGACAAACAGATGTTACTGACTTGTCCAGAGTACTACCTTATGTATACAGATTGAATAGTGTAGTTACTCAACCTTGGCAACCTTTAGATTTGTAGACAAGGACGATTCGATGCAATACTCTTATAATTTTTTTATCGAGATAAAAATGCTCGACACAAAATTTAGTCCGTAATTGTAGCGGAATGACAACAGTTCTTTCTTGTTATGTTGAAGAAAAAGGCTGCAAAAAAACAAACAAATTGTATTTCTTCAATATTTAGATACATCATAGCTGGTCTTTCGACAGGTTGTTTAATTGTTTTTAATGTTAATTTCAATGTTCTTAATCAATCTCGACGTGATCCAACAATCACAATTGCAAATTCTACTAAACCAATTCAATAATTTTTATTCAATTTTCATTTTATTCTTTGTCGTAGTGTGATTTTGTTTGTTTGTTCATGTATCAATCCTATGAATCAATATGTTTCCTATTCTATGCGCTTTCGTTTGCCGCTTTTTATGTATCTTTCTTTAAACATTCCAAAATTTTTGTTTGTCTATATGTATATTAATATTTTTGTTCTCTGAGAGAGAGAGAGAAAGAGAAAGACGACTGAAAAACCAGAATTGCAAAATACTCCTATTGAATGAAAGCAAAAACCAAGCTCTCCAGTGATATTCAATCTTTTTTTTGTTGTTGTATTTCTTTAGGTTAATTTGTAACTTATAACAACGTAAATTTGATTATCTTAAACATTTCGCTTGTCTATAGATTTTTCTGTGAATTGCTCATACTCAAGACTAAATCAATGGTTCTTTTGTTTTTTTTTTGCTTCTTAACACAGTTCACCGCATTCCTTTTTGTTTTATTATTTTTACTGCTTTGTGTTTCTTTACACCAAATAAAAAGACATGAAAAAACAAAAATTTATTTATTTATGTCGATGTATCCAATTAATATTTTAGATAATTTCTAGGAAGAATAATGGCAGCTACAGCTGGTAAGATATATAATCATATTATGAATTGACATTCGGATAGGAGACTTAAGATAATAGTTTTTTCTTTTTTTTACAATCTGAGAAATGTTTATATAATTAAGATGATTCAAACAAACTTCAAGTGTTAGTACCAGGTGGTATTGGTTTTATTGGCAGTCATTGTGTTATTGAACTTATCAATGGTGGATATGAACCTATTGTAGTTGATAATTTATCGAATTCCTCAATAAGTAAAATAGAATATATTTGTTGAAAAAGTTTTAAAAAAAATTATATTTATTTTAGTTTGTTTACAAAGAGTTGAACAAATTGTTGGACGTAAAATAACAAATTATAAAATTGATTGTCTTGATCTCGAAAGTTTACGTGATGTATTTAAAAAACATTCGATTTTTGCTGTTATGAATTTTGCTGCATTGAAATCTGTTGGTGAATCTGTTGAAAAACCTGTTTTATATTATAAAAATAATGTTGGTTGTTTACTTAATTTACTAACAGTATGATTCGTTTTCTTTTTTAAACTATAAAATCATATTTTACTTAGTTTACTCTTTTGTAGTGTATGGAAGAATTTAATGTAAAAAATATTCTTTTTTCATCATCAGCTACTGTTTATGGTGCACCAAAATATTTACCACTTGATGAAAAACATCCATGTATTGGAGATGCTATTACAAATCCATATGGGAAAAGTAAATATGTTTGTGAACATATTCTCAAAGATACAGCCATTGCTCATCCTGTTCGTATGTAAAGTCTTTTGAGAACAATTTTCATTTAGTTTTATTGTGTTCTAGGATTGGAATATTATTATTTTACGTTATTTTAATCCTGTTGGTGCTCATGAATCAGGTTTAGTTGTACATATGAAGAAATGTTTCTTATTTTTACTTATTTTATATTAGGTTTAATTGGTGAAAATCCTATTGGTAAACCAAACAATCTTATGCCGTATGTTGCTCAAGTAGCTGTTGGTCGACTACCACATGTGAATGTTACGGGTACGGATTATGATACACCCGATGGAACAGGTAATGACGATACTCTTTTTTTTTTAACTATGAATGATGATTGAATTTATATAGGTGTACGAGATTATATTCATGTTGTTGATTTGGCTACAGGTCATCTTGCATGTATGAAAAAATTTAAAGAAAATTGTGGTCTTCAAGTATGTATACAGGATTTCTTTCGATTTAGTTTATTTATTTTTTTTCTTATTTAGATCTATAATCTTGGTACTGGTAAAGGTTATTCTGTATTAGAAATGATCAAAGCATTAGAAAAAGCATCGGGTAAAACAATTGCTTATAAAGAATGTCCTCGACGTTCTGGTGATCTTGCATGTGTTTATGCTGATCCTGCTGTAGCTGCTAAAGAACTCGGATGGAAAGCTCAACGAGGTTTAGATGATATGTGTAAGTAAAGAATATTATAAAAAATTAATTATCAATTATATATGCGTATATAGGTCGAGATTTATGGCGATGGCAATCGAACAATCCAAATGGATTTCAATAGAATCTCATTGATCTTTATTTTTAAGCCGATTGAGAATATATTCTTTTCTTAGGCAACTATCCATTTATCTTGTGTTATTCTACTATTTTATTTATTGATATTGGCAATATTTAAGAATCGGCTCAATGGTATCATTTTGTTGGTTTTTTTTGTTGAAAATTTAACTATTATCATACGATGCTATCAATTGTTTTTGGCTATGAATGTATGGTTATAACAAATAAAAATAAAATCAGTATTAAGAAGAAAAATGAAAAAAGTGTGGTAGAGAAAGCGAAAAATGCGATGAATAAGGATTGATCAAGAGAAAAAGATTCGAAACTTCTTATCACAACCAAGAAGAAAACTAATTTTGATTAATTTTTCGTCTTCCTATTCGATGCACTATTAAAGAAAGTTTTGTACTATTGGATAGAATATGCGACCAAACATTGTATCCAAGAGTGTGGGTATACTAGTGTCATTGAAGAGAAGACCGATGCCTACACTCTCAAAATAGTAAAAGTTCTACGGAGTAGAATTGACAAATGCCTGAACATTTACTAGTTTTTGAGAAAAATATAGGTAAAATAGGAAGATCAATCGAAATATAAGACAAAATTATAGGAAACAGATTAAAATGCACCGCAAGATCCATTCACAAGAAATCAGAAAATATTGAGATCGAAAACAATGTTGTTATTATTTTGATCTTATTGACTTATTTTATTCTATTATTACTACCTTTACAAAAGTACAAATTTTTGTGAACTTTGTTTTTCCAGGATAATTAAAATTAAAACACTCACAAAATTCGTTGTCAGGAAGTTGATTCAAGAAGTCGGTGTACTCTGTTTTTTTTGCAGAGAGAGAGAAAGAAAGAGAAAGGAAAGTAATAGAAGAGGTCTCACAGTTATAATCTGTTCAATTTCTTCTTTTTAAAGGACCTCGCACCTTCGGCAGCTGATTCAAACGTAAATTTTATTTCTACATTCATAAAATAGAAAGAAAAATAAATATCATCAAATACAAGCAATTTTTAACCGAGATGTTTTGTACTTAAGTGTAAAAGTGATTATGCCATTCAAAAACAAAGCGAATACCTATTCTAATCTAATAATATCAAACTGCATCATTTCAAACTATTTTATTTGGAAAAGAGATGTGTAAATGTATATTTATATAAGAACATGAGTAGTTCTATAACAGTATAAACGCAAAAAATTCAGATAAACGGAAGAAAACAAAATCTATTTGAACAGGTCAGTTTCTTCAAGTAGCACTTTTTCACAGTTATCAAGCTTGAACTAATGGAGATCTATTATGATATCGATAGGTATAAGTTCCAGACGAGCAAGTGTATGAACTTACAAAGAATGTGATATTTACACAAGCAAAAATTTCGTTTTGTAATCATCTTGAAGTTCTATCTGACAAAGAATGAAAAATATAAATGTATCGGTAGTTACTGCTTTGTTATTGGATGCTCCTTTGTCATTTCCATTCTTTTCTTCTGCACGCATGTGAACATTTGGGTAAGAGAATACAAAGATCTTTCTAACTTATCATCTTGAACGCAAAAGCTTTTTTCCTAGAAAGTGGATTCGATTGCTGGCGCAATTTTTCTCTTTGATGTTAGTCTGAATGTATGTGCAGTAGAGACCTGCGGAGTCAACTTTTTTCATTCCGAAACCCGACTCCGACTCTGATTCCGAAAATTTTTATTTTTTGACTCCGATTCCGACTCCGAAAAACTCCGAAATTTTTTAACAATGTAATTTAAAAATAAAACGTTCTCAGAAGCCAAAGGACTCTTTAATGACTTAACATGCGCACGTTTTACACTAAAAATCTCAAGTTTCTCTTAAAAAAAAAACAGTTTATGGATGTGATCATCTTCAAAGTCGCTTTTTCCCTGAAAAAAAACCTTTTTGAATATGTAAAAAATCCACAGTTTTGCTCCTAAAAACGCGTTTCTGTTACTGATTTTACCGGCCTTGGATATTCTTCGTCTAAACAAGGAAGAACTAATGATGAAGATAGTCGTAGTACTTTGAATGACATTAATATATCTTTTTTGACTAATGTTGTTATGTTTTCATCTCACTTGATCATTCGAGTGTTANATGTTTCAAAATGAAAATTTGACACTTACAAAATCACAAGCCTAAAAAAACATATTGTTTCCTCTGACAGTTACTCAGATTTTCTTTTTCTCTTTTTTTATGAGCCACAAGGTCATTTAAGTCGAAGAAAACAAAGAATATTGTATACAGAGTATTATTGCATGTTTTATTGAAGTTTTCGCAATGTCCCTTAGAAGGGACATTCGGCTTTTAAGGGTTAAGTTGCTTACGCCGTTTTCTGATGAAGAGATTAGTCACATCGGATTGGTGATCAAGGCTACCCATCTCAAAACATGATCCTTCTAATATTTTTCCGTAGTTCTTTCTTGTTGCTCTACGTTAAAGGAATTTGCTTGACTCGTTCAAATTCTATGAGTATGGATCGAATTATGGAGCAATTAATAGGAGACAAACCAATTCAAGACCATTTTAGACTGTTTTCTTTCATGCTGCTGATCAAGCTTTGGCGACGTCGCTCTTTTTCTTGTCGTGGTACTAAACTATTAAATTTTAATGTTCTTTTTCGTATTGCAGAACATGAGAAGAAGTTGATTGAAGCGGTGTGGCAAGCTCTACATGGAGCATGGGTTTGTGATGACGCATGTAACTCGCAAGGAGCGATACAAAGTCGACTACGTGTCGCACAACTAATCGAAGACTCTTGCTTAGCCAATCTTGAGTTTAGTGAACAGCGCGGTCTCGATAGGTGCGTGCAAGCCGATGCACTACGACGTGCTGGAGAGTTTCAACGAGCTAAAGAATTACTTCAACATATGCAGGTAAGTTTCAATTTGAAAACAAATTCGAACCAATTCAAATGTTATATGTGTATGCTAGGGTAATGAAGAGGATGTTATCAAAAGCATGTCTAAATTTCAACTGTATCTTATTGATGCCAAGGATACTAGTAAGCCAACAAGACAACAAATTTGATTTTGATGAACACTCTTTCTTTGTATAGGATGCTATACCATTGCAGATGCTACAAAGCACAATAGAACCGACCAAAACATTAGCTAAACTCAGTTTCTCTGGTATCGTCTATTATTTCCTGATCTATCTATTCAAGAACGTTTTTTTCTTTATCTAAATATTTGAAAGAATAAAAGAGTCCACGTAGCAAGTTTTACATTATAGGAATATCGTTGACGTCGAGTACTCAACTTTGAGAATTATCGTAGACGAGTCATTCCACTATTTTAAGCGACGTGCTACAGGATTAATGGCTGTTCCAATATGATTCGTGCGTCGTGATCGTGAAGATATTCATGTACTTCCGAAACTCATACACTTTTTTGAGTTCAGTAAAATAGGAATTTTGCAGCCAGATAAGTCGCCGGCAATTATTTATTAAAAATTATTAAAATCAAAATCGTAATTTCACAATACCTACAGTTATATGAAATCAAGATCGCTCTTGTGAGAGAAGAAAAGTACATTCCGTTACTGTACTCTTTGGATGCAATGATCAATTGTGTCTGTGCATTCTCTGTTGATGGACTCATTTTAAAGTAATCGAAAAGTAGGTGAAGTTGTCGTGTTTTCTGCCAATTATCATCTAGTATCTCAATGACAAGTGATTCTTGAATTGTCATCTCGAGATGAGAATAGCGGTGTTCTGGCAGATGTTGACAGAGAATCAGAACAAGTGCATCTATATTGACATAGTTGGCATCACAATCCATGTCGTCATACCGCCAACGCAGCATTATTGAGGGTGTGGGTGTGGGTGGGTGTGGAGAAGAAAAAAGCTAACACCCACACCCACACCCTCATCAAATAAAAATAATGGATTGATCTATTTATTCGAATATCTCTGTTACAATTTGACATATAGCCAATGAACTTTATTTTCTCATGTTTGAATCGTAATTTCAACAAAATTTTGAGCGATTGCTAAATGAGCATGTGATAAGTATGTATAATCAAGAAATGAAAATTGATCAAAATCAATTTCTCCACGCCAACCGAAATATGCTGCATGATGGAAACATTTTGTTATTTGTTTGTATAATAGAGAATCTTCGCCTAATCTATGCAATGTCTCATTAGATAGATGTTCGATAGTCAATTGATGTTTGCCAAAATCGAATATAAGGTGATTATAATAAACAATATCACATTGAACTTCATCTAAAGTTGGCCTGATAGTTGCACAAGTACAAGGGTCGCTCACAGCACCTGCAGATAACATTCGACATAGACTTGTGCTCCAACCTTGTTCAATATGTTTCAGTAACTTTTTACGATAACCTAGTATACATATCATCATCATTCCTTTTATTTGAAGATGAATCAATAAATGTTTTTTCTTTGTCTCCTAAAGCATGCCTTCGTTGGTAACTGAGAATAAATGATTTATCGAATTCATCGTTTTTATTATCTGATTGTCACTAAATATGTTCGAATCGGATTGTTTATCACATAATGCACAAACCTTTTTTAATTTTAAAACGAAAATATGATAGAAGATCTTCTTCAATAAATTGTGATTGATGATGATTTCTCATATAAGTACAATTAACATTATGATCTAAATCAATCATTGGTTGTCATTTATTTTCATTTTTTTGTTCTGTAACACGATAGAAAGAACCATAACAGTTATGATTATAAGAGACATCCGATAGAATTCTTTCCATATTCATTTCACATACTTCATGTGTATTTCTATCATAATGAACAGTATAAGTAGTTGAATCTTTTTCATGTTCTAATAGAAAAAAAAGCATAAACTACAGCAACACGACAACATTGATCAATATGTTTGTAGAAAAATTTCGAATCTGAAAAACGAAATAATGTTTGACTATCATATTGAGTATTGATTTTTGGAATTAATTTTTCTCAAAATGGACTTTCCTCAAAGTTTTTTAATGTTTGACTTTCCCATAGAATTTTTAATAATTGAAAATTTGGGTAAGCAAATATTATATATTGAATATCTTGTTTATGTTAATATTTCAATATAGAAAGCCACATTTCAAGTGGTAATTGTTTGATTAATTTTTTTTGTTTCTATATGATTCTTCAATATCAGTTGTTTGTACTGATTGATTTGGACTTTTATTATATGTATTTAATTCATTTTGTTGTACTCCTCGAAAATAATTAAAACATGCCTCATAATCATCTTTTTCTTCTGAAGTTATTGCAAATCCTAATGCTTTTTCTTTTCGTTTAACAAGCACATCAGTTCTTAATACAATAGGTTTCTTAACATTACTAGAATCATTTATTTCTGGTGCCATAGTTTCATGTAACAGGATTATGTGTAAATAGAATAGCATGATCTTTTTTTGGTTCTATTGTAATACATTCATAGCCGTGATCTAATCCACTATAAGATTCGATTTCTTTTTTAATTGTTAATCCTTTGACAGAAAACTTGAATGATTGTTTCAGAAAATAAAATTCCGTTTCACTTTTCAAACTTATGATTTAAATAAGTAATTAAACTTTCGTAATGATCGTTCATCAGCACGAGGTGCATATTGAGCATCTTTATGTAAACAAAAATATTCATTTTATGATATTTATTTTATTGCATTGCACTATTAACACCACTCATTTTCCATCTGTCTTGAACATTAAAACCTGATGGTTTTATATTTGAAATCAATTTGGTTATTCGATTACTAAATTTTAAACGCCGCCAAAGTGTTCGAATAAATAGATCATCAATACTTGTTCATCACCAAATATTTCGCTTTTGACTATCATATTGATTGATCATAATATGTTCGAATTCTTTTTGATTCATATTTGTAAGAATTTCATCTCATTCATTTGTATCTAATAAACTACCCAATTCAATTAAGACTAAATCATCTTGTTGTTTGATTTTATTTAATTTGATACCAGTTGGCAGTCTTGTTGGCACAGAAGAATTTGTAAGTAATAAATATACAATACTCACATTAACATTTCCCAAGAAATGATTTTGATTCATCTAGAAAAAAACCAGGATAGATTTCTATTCATTAGTGCTACTTTCTTTCTACTCAATATGTGGAAGAAATTCAAGTTATTTTAGAGTATTTCATCGTGCATTGTCTTTTAATTTTACCTCATCTTTATATGTTGTTAGTCTATTTCAATTTCATGTAATTACACAATACCAATGAAATACAATTACAGATAACAACATGTGCTAGTTTGTGTTTCTCTCAATGTTCTTGTTTTCTATAGTTGTTTTTATCCTTTATGGTACTTTTTCTTATCCATTGCAATACAATTGATTGATTACAATCGCAATTTTTACTCAAAATGAATTCGCATCTCTAATGCCATCGAAATGCAGTTTAATCTATTAGGATCATGTAACTGAATTCATCTTATTTCAATATATAGTAAAAAAAAGATTGTTCTTTTCGTGTTCTTGCAATCTTAGAATTTTTCTGTTATATCCTTCATTGCAATGTCTAGATTTTTTCCAGTTAATGAAAGAAGTCAATACTAATAGTATCCAAAAAAACAAAAAATTCTGAACAAAATAAAAGTAGTGGGAGTAAAATTTTCAATTTCCGATATTCATGCATATATATGAATTTCGAAATTTCGAATGGAGAGGGGTGGTTGTGAGTGTCGCTGTGAAACTTCTTTTCACGAAGACGCACACCTACAACTACTCACATCCTAAATATCTCTACATCACTGACATTTTCTATGCTGTTTGCTTGGTATGATTGATAATTTTGACGGCTGACTTTTGTCAAAATGAGCAATTTTCTTTTAGTAAAAGTAACGGCAAAGAACATGAATTAGATATCTTTGAGACGTACGAATCACAGGAAACGTCCAGTTTTGCCTATATGGACGAGGATTCAATGAATGTCAAACTCAAGCGCAGTATTCGTTTTGATCGTTTATAGATCCTGTAGTAGCATCAGGTTGTAGCCATGTATTTTGTCGGTCATGCATCAAAAAAGTACTAAAGAAGAAGTTGTTTGTCCTTTGTGTCGTCATCAGCCTATGTTGCGTATAGCTGTCAAACGGCCTGATCTCATCATATTTAGTTCTCTTTACCAAATATTGGTGAAACGATACTGTTGCGGTGAGTTAAACATCCAACGAGGCTTTTTCAATGAACACATAGCTGTATCATGTCCCAAAGTAAAAGTAACATGCTCAGTTGCAGATCTCAAATGTGAATGGATGCGACGACCTGATCAACTAGCTAGCCATATTGCAAATTGTAGTGTTGAACATATGAGGCTTGTTCTTGGCCAATTCATATCAACAACGGAGGGACTCAAACTGCAAGTGTACTTTCTCAAAGAGCCTCGTCGAATTCTCTAATCAGAAAATAAATGCTCTTGATATACGGTGACAACAACTTGAATTGATAATGATTACTAGCATGAACTAAAGGTAGAGTGTGAATGTAGGCAAAGTGAAGATCAGCACTCATACTCTGGTCATACTTTACATGAGAACTTATAAAGAAAAAATGTGTTAAGTAACCATAGTTGTAGTCAAGCATTCTTAGTTTATTCATGACTTTAATTATTGCTATATCTGATCGCATAGTTTTCAAAGAATATAAATCAAAATTTTGATTTATTCTTATGAGTTTTAGACAAAGAGCAGAAAAGCGTTAGAGAGGAGGAGGTGCCTATGATCGAAGCAACGTTGGTGTGTGCAAGAACGACATCACCAACTTCATCAATTTATAGGTAGGACATTGAGTTTCGAGATAGTATTTTACACTACATAGATGTCATTTATTATAACTGGTGTGTATCTTGACTGTCTTAGTAATGCTATTACTCCAAAGAAAAAAACAACATTCAGTAGAAGATTTTTAATCATGAAGTGAACGAATTAGTGTGTGAATACATACCATTCATTATTAGATTTTTGATGGCATAAACGAAGAAAAGGAATTTTTTAAAATATAATAAAACTAGAGAAACAGGATGAAAAAGTTCAGCTTCTACGGCATTTGAAGCTCTGTAAAAGTATGTAAGTGATTTAGATTTTATGGTTCGCTTACTCCTTCGTACAACGTTGAGAATGTGGGTGTCGCTATAGGTGGTGACTGTGATTTGAGGGAAGATTTATATACACTCCACAACCACATCAACGCCTACAAAAACAAAGAGAAAGCATGTGTATTAATCACTTATTTCCTTCAAGTATAGTGGTAATTTATGCAATAAAAACAAAAGGACACACTTTATTTTTGTCCAAAGAAAACAAGAGAATCGAAGGTATTCTGTAAAAGACGATTGTAATGATCAATAAAATTCACCACACCCATACCGTTTAAATTGAATTATATTAAAGTGATATGGTTCTTAGTTGTTAATAGAAAAGAATTTTAATTTTTCCGTTTTTCAATCAAAGCAAATTTGAAACATCGAGAGTACCTAAACGAAAGAAAATAATTGGTGTTGTAATCTCTTAGAATAAATATTCTACATGAGTCACGTATATAATGTACTTGTGTAATTTCACAAACAAAACGATATACTTCATATTCAAAATATAATTTAAATGTATGCATTATAAAGGCAGCTGAAAACAGCGATTTGATTTGACCCGTGGTCGTAAAGTTTGCTATCGGTAACTCTGTCACTTCATTTCTGACATTCTTCTGAATTTCACTTTTCATTGAACCAAGAACATTCGTCCAGTGTTTTTTTTACGAATTCAACACTTAGCACGTTCTTTTCTTAAGTGTGTTCAGCAAAGAGTGAACGTAATTGTTTCGCATTTTTATTTAGATATTTTTCATATTAAGGACAAGCAGCAGACCACATGTTGTTTGATGAAAGAAACAGGTCTTAATGGTTGTTGTAAGCCAGAAGAAACGCTTCAAGAACTGAGTTATTTTACTGTGATCTGAGCGGAAGAACTATTTTTTTATTGTACAGAGAACTTTGTAATGTTGACTGTTATCACGATCTTGATTTTCATCAACTTTATATAATCAGAATTCTTCGATTCTACTTTGTGAAACTGGAATGAAATGATACTGAGAAGAATCGAGTTCAAGTGGTTCAAGCTCGGAATCGATGGCTATGGTTTTGCTGAAGTTTGAGAAAAATAACTTTCATATTGTTGAAAATGCGAAAATATTCTCTCTTTACTTAATAAAGTAAACTAGTGTGACAGAAGAATTACGTCAATCATTACAATAGATAAGCAATGACACAGAAATAGAAGAACCTCATGTTCGAATGTTTGTCTTTATTTCTTTGTTAGACTTCAAAATAGGGCAAAAAAAGGAAAAAAAAGAAGTGCTATGAACCATTTTCTGAACACAACAGTTCACTTACTTCAGAAGAAGAATAATTACCGGTAGAATTAGACGTCATCACCAATGTGTGTAATTTTACAAAACTCGGATCACAGTTAGATTGAACAGGAACTAATGTTTATCGAGTAAAAGATCATAAAATGAGATAAATATTTTTGGTTTTGACGTCTATATATTATGTTTGAACAAGCACAGTACTGATATTGTTGGGTCTAACTTGGTACAATGAGTAATCCAATATAGTACATCTAATCAAACAAAAATGACAGGATTAAAAGATATTTTCACTTCAATTACGTAATAACCGAGGGTGAGGATAGACGATGACCTTCTCTTGATCGTAACCCACTCACTTATCCTCAGGAACAATGAACCTTTTTCTTTTTCTTCACAACTCAATATTTAACAACAAAAACTTCAGAACATACATGTAGAAAATCCGAACTAGATGTTACATTGTTTCTCCTGCTTTCGATAATGAACATAATGAGAGAAAATATTTTCTATCGCTTTTTCATTCTCAGTGTACAGAAAACTGAACTCAATTATTTATGGAGAATCAGAAAAATCTCTAGACAAACGATATATACTTGAAAAAAGAAATATTTCACTCATGATCGATTACGATCAATGTAAACGACAATCATAAAAAAGTTGTATGTTTTCATAATATTCTTCTCGTAGTAGGCGCAATAATAAATATAAATGTAAATAAATCAATTATTACTTTTTTTTGGTGTTCAATAAAGACCGATAAGACAAGTTACCCCTTATTCTCTATGAAGAGACTTGTGCGAATATGATGGTAACAATATTGCATACAATGAATTGTATCTTTTGGAATATTTCTAGTTCCATTGAGCTCTATATACGAAGTAAAATATGAGCTGACTAGGTTTTAATCAATTGGTAAAGTATTATCGTTCTTATTGATAATATAAATTTTTTTGAAATGAATCTAATCCATGATGATGAATTATCTACTAAAATTACATTTGAATAGAATATCCTAAGTAGTCATTC